GTGTAACAGCCCCAACAACCCCCTGAGAGTGTGTGTGTGTGTGTGTGTGTGTGTGTGTGTGTGTGTGTGTGTGTGGGGGGGGGGGGGTGGGGGGGGTCTGTTTGTCTGTTAATCCTGTCTGGAGAGACGGGGGAACAATACCAGCTTCTAACCCCTGCTGAGAAACCACGCTTCTCCCTCTCTCCCGCTCCTCCCCCTCAACCATCCCTCTCCTCCCCCTTTTCTCGCTCCCTCTCTCTCTCTCTCTCTCCCGTTGCTCCCACCTTTCTATTCATCCACATTTCTCCCATCTCTCGTTTCCCCTTCCTGCGCATCCCACTCGCCATACAAAACGGCGCAGAAGATGCTGAGTTCAATCAAGCCGGTTTAACCCCTTGTCTCCCAGCTACACCGGGTAGCAGCCCGCGGTTTGGCACGCCCACACTGAAGACGAGGGCGTCTTCTTCAACCTTTAGAGGCTGGCGGGCGGTAATCCCCTGGTGCATATGGACCGGAGACTATGCACAGGTGCTCAGAGGAAAGGATGGTTATGTTGTGTCAACCGAAAAACACGCACTACATACAATAAACATGGATACGACAAATGCAAATGCTCTTGCACACACACACACATGATAACACATGCTAACACACAAGCTAACGCGCATACACACATGCTGACATACTCTCATACGCACACACAAACACACACATATTATAACAAGACACACACACACACACACAGGGTCCAAAATCAACTGCACTGACATACTCACACACACACACACACACACACACACACACACACACATTCTTGCACAGAAACACACACTCAAACTCAACATTAAGCCTACTGAGCTTAGCTGGTATTAGTAGTTGTGTCTGCACACTACCTGCTTGAACGTCATTGCTGGGCGTGTGTGTGTGTGTGTGTGTGTGTGTGTGTGTGTGTATGTACTGTAGGTGTGTGGGTCAATCAGTCAACATTTGTGAGCTGAAGCAAACAAACTGATTCATAATTTTTCATGGCTGTTCAAAGATATGTCATCATGTTACAGCAACTTTTTGAATCACACCGCCATTCAAAATCATCAAACACCAATATTTTCTGAATGAAAACCCGGAGCGCTACTGACGTAATAATAACCAGTACTTTCAGACGGTTTCTTCTATTCAGACTGAAGACGCTGTCTGCTGCTCTCATAGCTGTCTGTGTGCGCATCCACACCGGGCCGAGATCCTACAGCTAAGCGCAGCGCTAATAAACAGCTAATCCACTGGTTTCCATTCTGTGTTCGCACCCCACCGCACACACAGACTGGTGAAATCTGTGTGTTACGCTACCGACCGAACTCTCAGTTGGTAGAAAATTAATTAGAGTTCAGCAATTCCCTAATTTCACGATGTCTGACATTTTATGAAAGAGCAGCGTTTGGCGGACCGCTGACCCGTTCCATCGTTCTAACCCAAGTACACAAATCAGACGGGCGGAGAGGGACAGCTGGAGGAGGCAACAGAAATCAATTCTCCGGGACCGTCTGTGGACCGGCTCAGTGGGGGAACAGTGAAGTGTGTGTTCAGTCGACGGTCTCGTTCATACAACCGGGAACTGAGCACTTCATTTGGATGTGCTCTTAGCAAACTGGACAAATCCTGGACAAGTCGGAACTAGAAAATATTATTTGAAAATATATTATATCCTATTATATTACATACAAATTCCACAAAATTTAGTTGGATATCGAAAACATTTTGCGGACCCGCCCTGCAGTACCCCCCCCCCCCCCCACTTTTGAAGACTGCTGGTTAAGCGGAATAATATATGTAGAGGGAAGTAGTTAAGATGATGTATATTATTAGGTTAGGAAGATAAACAAGCACAAGCTGTAATCTGCTATTTGGTTTGGAAAGGAGCGTTGAACAAGAGATGTGCCTGAATTCACTGTAAGTCCATTTGTATGAAGGTGCCAAATAGTGAGTGTGAGCCCTGATGTCCTCAGTCTATCATCTGAATCCACTCTCAGTTGCTAACTAGTGACTAGAGAATTGAATTCTCAGCTGGAAAGGATCTGGGTTTGATTCCCAATGTCCACAGGATAACTCTTGGCATCCGTGAGCAAAACCCATTTCAACGTGAGCCTCTCTGTATGAACGCATCTACCCAACACTAAATCTGTTTTTTGGCGTCACTCAGAACTCCCACCATGACGGCGGCAGCAGGCGTGTTGCTGCTCTCACCGCGTGTGCGCACAGGCGTGTTGCTGCTCTTACCGCGTGTGCGCACGGACGTGTTGATGTGGCTGGGCGGGCTGACTCCGTGCACGTTGACGGCCCTCACCACAAACTGGTACTCGGTGTCCGGCATGAGGCCCTTCAGGACCATGGAGGTGGCCTCGATGGGCTCGCGGATGTACGTCCACTCGGTGTCCATCTCTGGTCTGACGGGAAAACAGACGACAAAACACCGAAACATTTTAGATTTAGTGTGTGTGTGTGTGTGTGTGTGTGTGTGTGTGTGCATGTGTGTGTGTGTGTGTGCAAGAGGTTTTTGGATGGATTAACGAATGACCTTCGATCGGAGTTTGCATTTCCAAATACAATATAAACATCATATTTCTACTTATATACATACTCACTATTATTACACTATTATTATTATTATTATTATTACTCACTATTATTATTACAAGTTAGTGAGATTCTGTGTGTGTCCCAGTGTGTAGGTCGGCTGTGTGAGTGGGCTGCAATGCATGAGTGTTTGTGGGATTTTGTGCATGTGTGTGTTTCTGCATGTGTGTGTGTGTGTGTGTGTGTGTGTGTGTGTGTGTGTGTGTGTGTGTGTGTGTGTGTGTGTGTGTGTGTGTGTGAATGTGTGTGTACCGCTGCAATGTGTATGTGAGTGTGTGCCTGTCAGGGCTGGACAATATATCCATGTTATATGGATATCTTGATATGAGACTAGATATTATCGTCTTACATTTTGGATATCATAACATCGTGATATTGCATAAGTTGAGTCTTTTTCTGGTTTATTACTGGCTGTATAGCAGTACAGTGATTAACAAAAATAAGAAAATACTCTGTACTTTTCACCTGTCAAGCATTTAATTCACACAGGAGTATACAAAAAAAGGGCTTTACCATGTGGTTATTCGACTATTTGTTTCTTGAATGACCGGACAACGTACTATGTTGTTGTTGTGATATATATTGTTATCGAGATATTAAATTACCTATATCCAACCAGCCCAGCCGGTGTTGTATACCCATTAGGTACATCAAGAGAAAAAATATAATTTCCCCTCAGATTGTCAAGTGCAAAACATAACACTCCCCCCCCCCCTCACTGCTAGCGGCCGTCTCTACAGTGCCACACCATATTGGCGGGTTCACCAGACGCCTGCGGCCACAACAGTTGGTTGACTAGAGTCATCTTTACAGCCGCACAGTGTCTCTCTTCACAGGCATCCGGTTTGATGTCTAGTGGCAAACGATTTGGCTGTGAGAGGCTCTTGTTTGAAGGGGGTGGCGGCGGGGGGGGGGGGGGGGGTCCTTCTGCATGCGAGCACAGAGTGTGACTCATGTAAAAGTCGTGCAAATGAACCCGACAGTTTAATGCTCTCTCTGTGCGTTTTCTCCCTCCCTCTCTGGATTCCTGTGTTCGGTTCCCAGTGCTGTGTGCTGTGCTGCCCATGACAAGACGCCAGTTTGGTTGTACTCTGTTTTAATCTATTTCTGTGTTTTGATGATGCCCCATGTTGCTATGATCATTCAGCAGCATTTTTTCATAGCCAGGTTTATTTTAGTCTCTCATCTTGTCTTTCTCTCCTGTCTGCTATTTTTTCATTTACTCATTTCATAGGAACTTCTTTCTTGATATAATTTCCTGGCCTAATGGAAGGCATTAGGGGACAGCAGACAACATTTATTTCTGAGACAGCAATTCATTTGAGACAACAGCCTGTCTGCCAAATAAATGCCAGTCTAGTTCGGCAATGGGACCTTGTGCATGTTTGTGTGTGTGTGTGCATGTGTGTGTGTGTGTGTGCATGTGTGTGTGTGTGCGTGTCCACCATATCTGCACCCAGACAGCTATGCTGGGAAGTTTCTTCATTCTTTCTTCTGTCCCCCTTGACCCTTATGTCATAACAAAAGCAGGCTATACTGAACAGATCAGGAAGTCACCATGGCCAGCGTTTCATGTTAGCAGACCAGTGTTTCATGTTAGCAGACCAGCGTTTCATGTTAGCAGGCCAGCGTTTCATGTTAGCAGGCCAGCGTTTCATGTTAACAGACCAGCGTTTCATGTTAGCAGACCAGCGTTTCATGTTAGCAGACCAGCGTTTCATGTTAGCAGGCCAGCGTTTCATGTTAACAGACCAGTGTTTCATGTTAGCAGACCAGTGTTTCATGTTAGCAGCCCAGCGTCTCACTGGTTCGGATGTGTTATTATGTGTACAGTGGGTGTATGTAACTGTTATGCGTCACTCATTGATTGTTGGAGGGCTTGTTTTGTGTTTTTTATACGCTCAATATGTCTGCACTTTTACTGCCGACCTTGTGCATGTGTACAACAAATTCCCCCTTGGGTCAAATAAATATATATACATAGTTGTTTTTGTGTGTATGTATTATGTATTTATTTATTTTTTATGATATAATACATGAAGAAATGTGTTTTTTCTTGATCTCTGCAAGGGGGAAAACGATAAATGATGAAACAGTTTATTAGTTATTAGTGATCAAAGTGAGTCTGTATATTTGAATTGTGTATTTGTTTGTATTTGAAAATGATCCACACATTGACGGTCTTAACTTGCTGATTGTGTGTGTGTGTGTGTGTATATGCGTGTGTGCGAGCGAGAGAGAGAGAGAGAGAGAGAGAGAGAGAGAGAGAGAGAGAGAGAGCGAGAGAGAGACATGGAGAGAGAGAGAGAGAGAGAGAGCGAGAGAGAGACATGGAGAGAGAGAGAGACATGGAGAGAGAGAGAGAGAGAGAGAGAGAGAGAGAGAGAGATAATGGCCCTGACCAGCATAACTGGTAGAGCATGGTGGCATTAGCGTTGCCAAGGTTAGGGGTTCGATTCCCACTCACTGGGACCACTCATGCTAAAAATGCATGCACTCAGAGACGCTTCGGGATAAAAGCGTCCACCAAATGGCATATACAATCAATCACCATTGAGCCACTCGGCTATGTCTCCTACCTGATGTAAGCAACCAGGAAGTGGAGAACAGG